TCGCACATGCTAGGTCTGAGGCAATTGTCAACTTTATGTGTAATACTAGTGTTTAGATTGGGATTGTAGTGGTTGTGCTGGGATCACTATTATCATCGGGACAGATCTCAGGATGTTGGTAAAAGGCAGAAGTCATCAGAATTAGGTCTTAATTGGGCCCATAACCCCTCTTGTGCTGTCTCAGGCAGCAGTGGCCACTGGCAAAGCGAGGGGTGATGTTGACGGCATCCAGTCAAACATGAGCGTGTCTTGGAGAGTGGAGGCAGCTGCATTCACATAACTGTGGAGCGAGTTCAAATGATGTGCTATTGATGTGTGGCAGTGCCCGAGGGGGCGTTGCCTGTAGAAGTCCATGAGGTAATGATGAACACAACTCATGGGCTAACTTAGACCTTACGGGTAGGTCAAAATATGTCTGTATGGATCGACCGACTGGTGCATCATTCAACATGGGAACCAAACCACCTGCGGCGACGTGCACAGAAACCGCTCCGGCAGCGCCAACCTCCATGCCCTCTCGAGCTGAATGTCTACTTGACCTTGTTATGACACGGGTGCAGATGGAAAAGTAAGAAAGAATAGTGTAGATAAAATAATTTGTGCGACCTTGCTATGAGACAGAATTTAAACGCCGTCAAAAATTATGGTCTATTTTTCAGTGCCTGAGGAAGCAAGCGTTTATCCGGATGAACAAATAAAAGCACATGTACGGATTGTGAACAGTTTGTAGACGTCAGATTGAAAAAAGCTCTTTACGTTTTATTTAGGATGTCTAATGGTTCAAGATTCTTTTACTGGGCTGGATTCCAAGCGGATAAAAGTAATAGTTTGCATACTGAACTACGGTTTTTTACTTCCGAGATGGCGGTTAATACTGGTGATACGAGATTTAGGAAGCTAGATGTTGATAATGTTGCGGAAACCAATTTCCAAGATGATGGAACTGAGGATGTTTCCTCTTCCTTTAACGAGCGGGACGTGGAAAACCTACTAAACAGGCAAGTCTTTTTTTCGGAATAATCTGTCATGTAATGCTCATTAAACTGCCTAACCGTGGCTCAAAAAACATTTAAGTGTCTGATAAGGGCATCATTTATCGTTGCTTTTAACCTTATTTTTAAGTGGGGATTTTATTTTTTCGGGAATGCCTACAGGGCAACCGTTGCCGTTGACTTTACTACAAATGCGCCGCACATTGCCTAAAACGATAAGCAATACCTATCTTAAAAACAAGCGAGGATTTAGAATATATCTGACCTTTAGCGTTTTCAGAAACGGTGAGGGAGTTAGCGCACGACTGAGTCAGAAAGTTTAAAACAGGCAAATATCTTGTGAATGGGAATCATTACTAGAAATTTTCAACTTAGGTTGTCGCAACAGGGTTACCTGAAGTTGCACTTAGAGTTTACGAAACTGCAACAGACTTGTTATCAGAGCCAGGCGCATTAGTCCGTCTTTCATCATGAAGGACTGTATCACGTTGACTCTACTTAGCCACAAGGCAGCGGTAGTAAGCAAAATTGTTGAATGGTGGTTCATGGTCGCCATGTCACGGTGCTGTCTTTAGGCTCCACAGAATTTTACTAGGCAGTTTTCTTGTCATACTTCACTCTGCAACTGCTTATTCGCCAGACCGGAAAGCCTGCTTGTTTGGCAGCTTGCCTTTTCTACTAGCCGCTATGCTATCCACCATCCATATTCGCGGTGGATAACCAACAGCTAGGCTAACGGGCAACCAGCCTGAGTTAGATTTGCTTTTGCACTGTAAAGATCTTGAGCGTGTCAGCTAATTAAACTATCTACTTTTCCGAAATTCTTGTCTGCTTATTTATTTGTAACATTTGTTGAATACAACTGGGGCTCAACTGTAACATTCCACAATCATGGGTAGAATCTGAATCGGCCTCAGCTGCCCACTGGATTGACTGTCACCCCCTCACAGGACTTTGGTAGTACGAGGAGGGGAGAGCTGGGTTAGTGTTACAGTGGATTAAATTGTGAACCTATTGTGAGGAAGTCCTAGCGCCACTATGACCCAGTAGCAAGCATCGCTCGACTGTCAGTAAGACGGTTATAAATGTCTCACGTAATATTTAGCGCCAGGCTTTTCACCAATATATACGAACGAGACTGCATGTACGACCTTCTATGGTAGGGAGTCACACCGCCCGGTTTCTAGCCTGCCAGTCGAAGTGATTGCCATTGTGTGGCCGCTGCATGTAATGCAGACTGGTAAAACCACGCATAAAACGCCGATTGTAAACTTGGACTGTTGTAGAGTTCCCAAGGTGACTGACCTTTTTAGCAGAGTGAACTGATCCTCTGGTTTTCTGTCGCATACCCCCACATAGTCGTCCATGGTTTTCAATTATTATTATTTACACAGTGAGCCTTATTGTTCAGTTTAATGCGTCGATCTGCCTGAGCCGTGTCTATTTTAAGGAGTGTACTTTCCACGCACCGCTTCAACTGCATGTAGCCGTTGTGGGTGGGGGGTCTGTCTTTATTCTCGTGCTTAAAGTATACAGTAGCAGCGATTCGACACAACTGACTTATCCGTTAAAATTGCACAGCCCCCACCAGTATCACAATCCAAATGTTAGGTACATTTTTCAGCCAGCGCAATCTATCGCTATTTTTGCAAATATTATACCTGATGACTAACAGAACCTGTTTATGTGCTTGTGGATTTACGCATCAGCGATAACTAGGATTAAGAAGGGCTTTGGCTGGAACCGAAGTCCCCTTGGGTCAACACATAAAGATTAGTAAGTTATTTTGAACAGACTGGATCCACCAGATCCGCGTTGTCCGTTTAGTGGCTTCCCCGAAGTTGTTCATAGACGTTTTGTTTCGACTAGACTTCGTCCCTCATATGTTTGTAAATGTATTTCATACGAGTCCGTATTCAATACTATAACTGGAAACTTTCAGTACTAGCTCTGTTCTGTGGAGCAATGTGTGATGTTCTGCACCGTTGCACTTGAATTCAAGGTCTTCAAAAGACACATTGTATACATTTTGTCTTAAGATAGGTAAATATTTCCCTGCCGTTTGGGGAAGAAGTCATATCGTTCTCATACAATTTTGCCATTGATGTGGAACAAGTTGTATAATTATAAGCAGCATTAAAAATGGACAGATACGTTGC